TAAAGTGATATTCCGAAATGCAGCGGCAGCAAACAATTTTTGTACGGACAAGAGGTTACATAGCTTGGAATATACCCCAAAAATTTTTGCGCATCTGGTTTCAAAAATGGGAATCATTTTTGATATACCGACGGATATTGACGAAGCAGGTTTGGGTAAGGAAATCAGATCATCTGTTCCTATTCTTAAATTTATAAGAATATACAGGAAAACAGAGGATGACGAAAGAATACCCACAAAAAGAGTAAAAATACTATTTGATGGACTTGAAATACCAAACGAGGTCATATACGCATACACAAAAATTCCTGTTAAACACTATATTTCATTTGCACAATGTTATAGATGTTTTAGATATAATCACTTTACTCAACATTGCAAGGCACAAAAGGATATATGTCAAAACTGTAGTGATGTACGAGAAATAAATCATCTATGCCACAACACAAAATGTATCAACTGCGAAGGATCTCACAAAGCCACTGCCAAAGAATGTCCGGCTAGAATCAAAGCATACAACATTAAAAAAATTATGACGATCGAGAACCTTAGTAGTGGAGAAGCCAGGAAAAAATACACGGGCATATTTGGGAATAGATTTGATCTCCTTGAGGAAAGCAACAATGGTGGCTTCCCTACATTACCGTCCAAAAATATTCGAATCACTCAAAACAATACAAAAGAAGCAGCAAAATTTTTACACAACCAATATCCATTCTCAAAAATGATAAAAACTAATTTCAATAGAGAAAGAGAAATTAAAAATGCGGATGAAACTATGAGACTATGGAAACAAACACTCCAAGAGGAAACAATACAACAACAAATACCTCAAAACATCACTATAATAAAAACGCCTAAACTGCAGCAGTTAGAAAAACACTTTGAAAAACAAACGGATACAATTAAAGAATCGGCTCAACAAATTAATTCAATACTCACACAATGGTCAAATGACAATATGGACAAGGAGATCAGAGAAGTACTATATAAGGTTCAAGAATGCTACAAACTAATTAATGCGCTAGCGGACACGGAAATTATTAATCAACTAATTACTAATGAAATTGCTGCAATTTAATATTCAGAGTTTAAAAAAAGAAAATAACAAGGAATTATTAGAATTGTCACTAGATGAACACAATATAGATGTTGCTATATTATGCGAAACATGGCTCAATGACAATAGCTGCACAAGCTTACAGAAGTATAATTTTTATGGCAAATATAGACCGGACGGATATGGAGGTGTGGGAAATACATTGCCAAATCCGTAAAATATTCAATAATAAAAACAAATACCACTGCTGAAGTAATAGGCATTACCACGCTGAATCTTAAAAACAATATAAATATATTTTGTATATATTGTCCACCTGACATGACAAACAATTTATTCAAAAATGAAATCGAAAAAATATTTATAATGGCGGGAAATCTTAGGAAAAAGACAATTATCGGTGGCGACTTTAATTGCAAATCTACTGTGTGGGGAAGTGCATGCAACAACACTAAAGGGAGCATGTTAGAAGCATTTGCATTCGACAACTTTATATGCCTGAATAATGGCAACCCTACATTCCACACTGGGACACATGAATCACATCCAGACATAACATTTTCAAACATTAACCCTGGCAATATCAAATGGTCGGTGCTTACAAGCAAAATTACTAATAGCAACCACCTTCCTATTACTATAGAAATCAACAGCATACAAATACCTAAGGCTAATGGGCTGTTTTTGCTTACGCGTAAAAGCACATTTAGCGCATTTAGCTCTAAATGCTACTCTAAATGTACATTTATCCATACAAAATTCGTCACCTAAATGCAACTAAATGCAACTCCATTTTTGCATTTAGAATCTAAATGCTAAAAGCAACCCTGTGATCTTCCAAAATTTCCACGATTCGAACATGGTTTAATGAGAAGAAGTGGCAACATTGCTTTTTCGAGTATACAGTCGCTAGCTGCGTTTCAGTGATCGCCGATCGAGATTTCATTTATTATTTTACATTATTTGGATAAAGAAAAGTTACGCAAATTAAACATCGATATGATGCTGATAGAAATCTGGATTAATTTGTGATCAACTCTGTTTGCTTTGTTTCCTAATTAAGTGTGGAAATTATAATTGACAGCACCGACAAATGAATATATACACAAACAAATGTTTGGTTATGGTTAAAATAATTCAAGTTTTTGTATTGAATTTTCGGTTTAGAATTTATTTTTTCCTTTTCAGTAGGGATTTTTGGACATTATCTTTTCCGTGAGAATTTATCGTAATAGATACGGATCTGAATAAGCGACTGGAACACGGCTGTTTGTCAAAAGCATACGATTTCGAACTCGCGTAAATGTACATTTGCTAAATGCGATAGCATGAACGCTCTTCGAAAACAAATGTTCGAAAGTGCTAAATGTTGCATTTTAAATGCAGCAAAAACGCTAAAGAATAATACAATGCAAACTAATTGAAGAAATCAAAAACTGTAATTTGGGCAATACATTACATGAAGCAACTGACGCCCTAAACAAAATTAAACGTAATAATACAATACAAATTAAAGACCAAAATAAATATGTCCCTAAGAAATGGTGGAATAAAATAGACAGACTATACAAGTTAAGAAACAATGCGCGGAAGAGATACGAAACATACAAGAATTTTGCAAACCTTTGTAAATTAACAGATGCACAAAAAAACTTACAAGCGGAAATTGCTAAACGGAAAAAGGAAAACTTTAATGACTTAATAGATGAAATAACTGCAACAAGAGATTCTAAACAGATGTGGAATAAAATTAATAGTATTAAAAAATACGGAAGTACAAAAAAAATTATCAATACAAATCTAGAAAGCGGTGAACTACCTGAAATGACACTAGAAAATTTCAATAAGTACCTTCTAAACAGAAAACCTGACTCAGCGGCGGGATATGATGGTATATCATACAGAATGCTCCAAAATCTACCAAATGACCAAATAAAATGTCTATTTAATATAATTAACAATATATGGAAAGAGGAGAAAATACCTGACGAATGGAGAATAATAAAAATAATACCTATTTTAAAACCTAACAAAGAACCGGACAACATAATCAATTACAGACCAATTGCACTACTGCCAACTATTTACAAATTATTAGAAGGAATAATCAAACTACACCTCGAAAACACCACGAACCAATTAGACCTAATACCTCAACGTTCATATGCATTCAGAAAAAGAAGATCTACCACGTTTTGCATTAATGATGTCATTAATACAGTACTGTCCCTAAAAAGCAAAAATAATCAAGTTGCAGGAGCATGTATTGATATTGAAAAAGCATATGATAATGTAAATATCAACAAATTAACTAAAATATTACTGGATATGGGAATATCACATTCAATATCGCGATGGTTACAAAATTTTCTAAACAACAGAATACTAAAACTAGGCAATAACTCAATAACAACAAGTAAAGGACTACTACAGGGAAGTAGCCTTAGTCCAGTACTCTTCAATCTATATACGGCTGAGCTACACAACATTAATGACGCTAACACAAACTTATTCCAATTCGCAGATGATTTTTTTATAATCACGGCACACAAGAACTTCAACACCATAAAAGAAAATCTCAAAAATAAAATAGTAGAATTCACCAATAACTGCAATCAAATAAACCTAAAACTTAATTTAAACAAAACTAATGTAATACACTTTAATAACAAGAAACAACAACTAGACATACAAATAAACAACATAAATATAAATCAAGTAGACTCAATTAAATACCTTGGAAGATATATATCTAAAAACAACTCTGCCAATATTCATGTAAATGAAATAACTAACAAAATTCACAAAGATTGCAAATTTCTGAATATCCTGAGTGGCTGCAAATTTGGAATATCACCAAGCAAAGCTTTACAACTTTACAAAGCGTTTGCTAGAGCAAAAGCAGAATATGCTGCTTCCTCATTCGCAAATCTAAGCAAAACGGCATCAACAAAACTGGCAAGCTGTAACAATAGAATACTAAGGAAATGCTTGGGACTCATTCGATCAACACCAACGCATGTGGCTTATCACATGGCCGCTGAATTACCCCTGGAATACAGATTTAGATTAACAACAGCCAAAGACATAATTAAAAGTTTTGCTTACGAACTACCAATCACAGAAGTACTCTCACAGGATAATTTATCCTTCAATACCAGCTATACCACTGTCTTTAAACAGTATGATGACATCTTCCGAAACATTGTAAAAATACCAACGCTTTCCAATACATCTAACAAAACAAAAATTGACACAGAATTCTTCAAGGGAATGGTAAATTCGAAAAAGAATGCGAGCAGTGAACAAATTCAACAATTATTTATTACCAAAATTGAAGAACTTAAAAGCAAAGAGTTAGAAATAATATTCACGGATGGTTCAATTAAAGAAATCACAACAAATGCAGCTTTTTTCCACGAACGTACCAACACTATAAAAGCTTTTTACATAAACAAGATTTTGTCATCCATGTCTGCTGAGATAATTGCCTTTGATAAAGCTATCGATTTTGCTACCTCGCTTCAATACCAAAGAGTTGCCATATTGACAGATAGCAAATCAGGAGCATTGGCGCTATTAGATGAAGAGACGAACAATAGCTTAATAATAAACTTAATAAATAAAATAAACACAAGTAATATCATTACATTGGAAATACACTATATCCCAAGTCATAGTGGAATTCATCAAAACTGCGTGGTGGACAGAGCTGCAAAACTTGCTAATATCACTGGTGAAGAGATAACTATCGAATGGAATATAAAAGATGCCATAAAAGAAGTTGGAAGACGATTGGCCTCTGAATGGCAAGAAAAATACTCTGAAATTAGTATGATAAAGGGAAAAAATATTACACTATATTTCCTAAATTATTAAAAAGACCATGGTTTCACAAATTAGTCCCAAATATAGAGGCAAAACAAATAAAACAAATAAATAGAATATTATCGGGACACGCATTCTGCAGACATACGTTAGCAAAATTTAAGGTAGTAGATGATCCTCTATGTGAAATTTGCAATACAGAAGAAACTCCAGAGCACATCATACTCAAATGCAATAAATATGACAACATTAGAGCACATCATCCAAAATTAATAGCACACGCCTCTTTTGAAGAATTACATAAAATGGAAGATTCAAAAACATACATTATATTATCTGAATTCCTTAAACATACACAAATACTACTATAAAATCATACTTATATAAAACCACATAATATTCAAAACAATTACACCCAAGATAGCAAGACAGACAATATCCAATAAATAAATTGCATACGAGATGATTTACTACATCAAAACACATAAGTACTAGTCATCGATATCAACTCATAAGAATCGCTTTCAAATAATCGGTGGTGGCGCTGTAATTCTTGGAATCGGCCAAATAAATCTCTTCAACCGTGATATCGGTGCAAGAGTAACTTTAAAGCACTATAAAAAAAAAAAAAAAAGGTTACGTTACGAAACAATCGACCGGTGTCGTGAAACTTGAATTTATTAGGAAATTTACTGAAACTAAAAAACCTTCGCAAAACCCAAAATGCCGGTTCGTATTTTTGCGATGAAAAGAGTTCAGCTGAGTAAAACCTAGGAGCGAAAAGACAAAAAACGCGTGGGTTCGTATGTAGTCAACTCAATTCTCCTTTATTAAAAAAATTATACATATAAATGACACTTTGTTCAAGATGTCGATAAGATAGTTCAATGTATGAACGAGCAAAACAAAGAGAATGACAGTTCGAGTGGCATGTTCTCGTACTAGTCATTTATGAAAAGCAACACACTGTGTTCGTTTACGCTAATCTCCGAAACCGCTTAGCCCATTTCAATGAAAGTTTATGGTTGTGTATTGTTGGTTCCAACTTAAAAGATAGGATAGTTTTGAAACCGAGAAAAAATATATATTTTTTTGCATCGACATTTTTTTATGCGCCTCGCAACGTGCTGATCTTAATATATAAAAATCCCGTGTCACTGTTTTCATTTACGCTAATCTCCGAAACCGCTTAACCGATTTCAATGTGGGTGTGTATTGTTGGTTCCAACTTAAAAGAAAGGATGGTTTTGAACCCGAGAAAAAATATTTTTTTATGCTCCTCGCAACGTGCTTATCTTAATATACAAAAATCTCATGTCACTGTGTTCGTTTACGCTAATCTCCGAAACCGCTTAACCGATTGCAAAGAAATTTTGTGGGTGTGTATTGTTGGGTCCAACTTAAAACATAGGATAGTTTTGAACCCGAGAAAAGATATTTTTTTATGCTCCTCGCAACGTGCTTATCTTAATATATAAAAATCGCGTGTCACTGTATTCGTTTACGCTAATCTCCGAAACCGCTTAACCGATTGCAAAGAAATTTTGTGGGTGTGTATTGTTGGGTCCAACTTAAAACATAGGATAGTTTTGAACCCGAGAAAAGATATTTTTTTATGCTCCTCGCAACGTGGTTATCTTGATATACAAAAATCTCGTGTCACTGTGTTCGTTTACGCTAATCTCCGAAACCCCTTAACCGATTTCAATGAAATTTTGTGGGTGTGTATTGTTAAAAGATAGGATAGTTTTGAACTGGAGAAAAAATATTTTTTTTCATCGACATTTTTTGTGCTCTTTGCAACGTTCTTAAAATTCCCGTGTCGCTGTTTTCGTTAACGCTAATTACAAACTGCCCATATGCGAAGCGGGGGTTTTCCAATGCTATTCGCGGCTACGTTTCATATGTATGTTTATGTTGGGGAGAAATAGGAAGGATAGCAGCAAAATAATGTACTATGTATTTAAACATATACATAAGCATGCGCACATCAACAGGAACAAAAAATTTGCCATTTGGATACCATCCAATGTTATCCATGCCCCTGGCTGATGTTTGAACCGTAACCAGAGATCGTTTTTTTTTTCAAACGTATTGAACACTAATAACAATATTTTGTAAATTTCGATATCAAATGAAACGTAAGAAACAATATGGATCTTCACACCGAGCTCGGTATTCGGTAACTCGGTGTCCGGAAATTTTTTCTAATGTATTTTGTTTGTGCAAAATAGTGTTACACAAACAAAATACATGGGAAAAAATTACCGATCACCGAGTTACCGACAACGTCCGCCCGGATTTACTAGTTTTTTTTTTTTTTAATTTGCATGTAACTCTTCGCCCTTCTTTCACAAAAATTACTTCAGAAACGGGAAGGTGGAATTCCAGGCACTCCCAACCCAACCAACTAACCGTAAGGGAGCCTAGCCACTTAAGAAAGGCAAGCATAATCTTNAAACTCGGTATGGTTATTGTACTTGCCACGTGTAAGCAAAACGTTGAAAATTATTGAAATCGGACTAAAATAACGGCCGATTCTCATATAACGGTAAATTTAAGAAATGCTTGAAACTTCAGTATTTCGAAATTGAAGGACGCTAATTTACTCAAAATTGATACACCTCGGCTTACCATCTAGCGGAAGGTTTCGGAAGGGTGAAAAAACATATATTAGTACTTGCGCCGGGTATTTAATGTTCGGCTCCGCCCGAACTTAGACTTTCTTACTTGTTTTAAATTGTTTTTATTTTCAGCCGAGAAGATAGGGTATTCCTTATGAAACCATCTCTTTCTTCCCATCACACATTTTTTTTAAAGCCACGTGACAAGTTGCACTGTGCGCTCTACTGCCAGTGTGTAGCAGGGAGAAGCAAGGAGTTTTTCCTTGAACTTATCCAAGAAATCAATGGCCTCTTCAATATCTTGCTCTGAAAACTCAGCCAGCGTAGGGGTCCAGTGAATAAGTTCCGGATAATCTTTTGCCATGAAATTAATTATTGGGACGCAAAATTTTCTTTTTTTCTGATTTTGTCGAGCTCTTTTGATTATATCGACAGCTCGTCCCCTTAATTTGTTCCTTGGATCTACGAACATTGCCATTCGTAAGTTTTCTGGATGCAGAGCAAAACCATTCGTTTGAACGCAGGGTTCCACTACGGCTTCTCGCAATGCTTCTGGTAAGAATCTGGACTCACAGATGGTTCACCACACGTAATAACTGCTATGATAAAACTGCCAATTCTGTTTGATTATGAACCATATCTTTGCGTCAACTGCAGAGTATATAACCAAGATTTGCAATATGCTGGAGGGCTTGTGTTCGGACACATATAAAAGAAGAATCCTATTCGTAGTAGTTAGCCACCGAGCATGGCAAAGGGCTTCTGGATCCCGATTCGCAAGGTTATCTGGAATATGACCGCTACAAATAGCATGGCACTTTTCCAAGAGATATTTTTGATCAGTACTGAGACGTTCTGGGTCGATATCAGGTATGTAAATACCTATTTTTTAAATTTCACGACTTCCCTTGTACTACCATTAAGATAGGTAATGAGATGCCTAAGAGGAAGTTCATTAAAATGCAAGATGCAAATTTACCACTGAAGACTAAAGCCTAAGTGTTTTTCAATCAGTATAATAACGCGACCAATATTCCCTGTTTTTACAGATTTGCCATCAACGCCAATAATCTTTATTTTACTGCCTCTATTAGGGGTAACGTGTCCTTTAGGCGTCCTTTATTTTGAAAAAAATATATATAGGACAGGGGGTTAAAATAAAGCACTGTCCTTTAAAATAAAGGACGAATGGTCACCGTACTTATACTGCACTTTTATAATCCCTTTATTGGCTTTACATCACTTTGGCGAAGAAACGGTGTTCAAAAAGTTTGTTTGATTAATTGCTTAAGCTTAAGAGGATTTCTCATTTTTTGTACAGGTAATACTGACCATAGATACAACATTCCCATAACATTCCCTCAACAATCCGTCCCCCCCCCCCCCGGGCCAAAATCAAATTGGAAAAAGTTGGGGGTTTCCACCCACCCTAATGTACATATCTAAAGAAAATGTTGTGCATACTTTCAGTGTATTTTAATGAACGTCAGCATCAATCGATGGCTTGGCAAAGGTATGGCCTTCAAAGGCCCTGTAAGTGAATCTTGCGACCACACGATTGCTTTTAAAAGCTTCAACAGAAATGTTTTGATTTTTGTTATCGATTTTTGCTAGCACATACTAGCTATGTAGATTCAATTTTAGCAGAATAAACCGTTAAACGCCGGGCATATGTTTGTATGTAGAAGAAGCATAACGATTCTCGTATAAAGTGCACCGTGGAAAAAAAAATACGCTAACAGTTGCTGACAATCAAGCCCCACACACATTGACAGAAATATTGTATTATGTATGTACATTAGGGTGGTCCAAAAATGCATGTGAAAAAGAAAGGTCGGAATTTTTATGCTCTCACCCCCTAGGATTGTTCTATACCGAAAAAAATATACCCTTATATTTTATTTTGAAATCAAAAAATATTTGCTTAAGGCGCCTAAAGTTTTCCATGTATTTTTTTTGTGGAAAAAACAACTTTTCATAGAAATGGTATAGAATAGTTAAAAATCAATATTTTTCTACCAGAAAACTCTGTTTATCTGCCGGAGATTCCCAGTAATAGCAACTAATTGTTTATTTAACCATTTCTTCAATGCAACTGTAATTTATAGGTCCGCCAAAAACCCACAAAAACCCCGAAAAATGCAATGGGGCGACCAATAAAAAATCGTTAGTACTAAAAAATGGTTAAATAGACAGATGGGTATTATTATTGAAAGTCTCCTGAAGAGAACCAGAGTTTTCCGATCGAAAAATATTGACTTTCAAGAATTCTATACCATTTCTTCGAAAAAGTTAATTTTTCCCATATAAAAATACACGGAAAACTTTGAGCGCTTTGAGCGACCTCTAAATAGTTTTTGATTTCAAAATAAAAAAATAA